TTCCCTACAGACTTTACGATTCCCAGACCTGTGTGTCACAGTGAAGTGCGGTGTCCCCGCTTTAGGTGTGTGAGTGTTTGATGTGTCATATTCCAGCTGTGCACACACATCAATCTAAACATTCCTCCCTGTCTGAAAATCGCTTAATGTCATGACTAAGCAACAAAACCTGTCAGAGACACACTGATTTACATTTCTGTGTTCAGCTATTTTAGAGATTCTGCTCAGTATTTTACATTAATTGTCAGGACTTTGCTCTGTCAGGACTATTTGTTTTGAAAAGCACAGATAAGATGGAAATATGTATAATATTTTTTATTTTATATTTATTTATTTTTAACATTACAACACACTACCATATTTATAGAAAACTATTTCTGCCACAGAATAAAAAAATTAAAAATTTAATTGAGAGTATTTATTACATCATTCTGATTTTGTTCCTTGCAATTCTGAGTTTATATTTCTCAATTCTGACTTTGTTTCTCTCAATTCTAGGAGAAAAAAAAACTTTTTCTGAGTTTAAATTTCACAAATCTGAGTTTATATCTTGTCATTCTGACTTCTTTTATCAGAACTGCGGGTTTAAACCTCGCAACTCTGACTTTTTCTTAGAATTCTGAGTTTACATCTCACAATTCTGTTTTTTTTTCTGCCACAGAATAAAAAATAAAAAGGTAATAGTGACTTTATCTAAAAATAAATAATAAATAAATAATGTGACACTAATTCAACTTTGTTCTGTTTATTTGAGCATCCTGACCCACAGCAATGCTGACATGCAACCAATGCACAGCATCCAATGGTGTTGTTTGGGGGCGTGACTATTTGTTTGGCCAACCAATGGCAGCTAGAAACCTGTTTAAAAACCATCCAAAAACCATCCAAGAGATCCAAGCAAAAACAATCCCTCATGAATAGAAAGTGTCCATTGAATGTTCACTTCAAAATCCTGCCGAAGTTAGGTCACCAGCATACTTTTTGACTGTATTTGTTAAAATATATTTCAAAATATATTTATGTACATATAATTTCTACAAATATATTTTGCCAATTTTTTTATATTTTTAAAATATATTTTAATATAATAATAATTAAAAAAAATAATATAAATATATTTTACAATTTGCTAAAATATATTTATGTAAATTTATGTATTTGTGTATTTATGTAATTTATGTTTGTATATTTTTGAAAATATATTTTAAATATAGAAATATGTATTTTTACATTTAAATATATATATATATTGACACCTATATATTTCAGTCCAACAAAATGCATTTTCTTGCCCCAGAAATATATTTAGAAATATATTTTGGTATATGAAGGTTGAAACTAAATATATTTCCTATTTCAAAAATATATTTCATTAAGCTTCTCTGTCTGCACCATACAGTATATTAAGCATATATTTCAAATACATTTTGGCCACAAAAAAAAAATGCTATATGGGTTTCACCTATTATATAGTAGCGAAGTATGCAAATTCAGCAATTTTACAGGCTTTTTCAATAATCACTCCCCATAACCTCACATATATACGTATAGTGCACTATTTGAAGGGACAGCCATTTGTAGTGGTGTCTGAATTCTGAAAATATAGACTACTTGCAATTTATGTAACACTTGAAAATGCTAAATGGCTATAATAGTTAGCAAGCTGACAATCTAAATAAAATACTATACTGCCTAATTTTTTTGTATAATATGCATTTTTCAGGAATAATGGATGAGAATATACTATAGGGGGCAAGATACAGCCATACTTTACTTTTAAGATTGAAATGTTTTACTGCCAGCACAGTATTTAAGCTTTGATAAAACTCTTTAGGAGGAAACAGTGAATCATATGGTTTAAACAGCACTGCAGTGTTGATGAGCTGGGAAATATCACTCTAATGAGGGAAATCCGCACTCGGTCTCTTTAGAGCTGACTCACCCTCAGATGAGAGATTTGGCGGGGATTAGTAATACCAGATTGAAACACACACAGAGAGACTGGAAGAGAAAATTGATTGCAGACACCTAAGTGGCCAGTAGTCAGTGTTGGGAAGTAACTAGTTACATGTAACAGAATTACGTAATTTAATTACAAAATAAAAGTAATTGTAATCAGTTACAGTTACTGAGAAAAAATGTGTAATTAAATTACAGTTACTTATGAAAATGTTAAGGATTACAAAGGGGGTTACATCTGCTTTTTTTCACACTCTCCCACATACAGATTTAATTGATTTCTTTCATAAATTGCAGTGACTGCTCTAAAATATGAAACACCAATGTTTCAGGAGTTTAGAACATGCTTATTCAATAACTTTTTTATTTCCTATATGGGTTTATGTATAGCTATGCTTAATTTTAGTTTTTTTTCCAAGGCATTGTTAGATTCCAGTGTTTACTGTCATAGCTATGTAAAGATTTGATTTCAAAAACGGTATCATAGCTAATAAAATATTTCTTGTTATGATTTGAAATATGTATTTTACCTCAGAATGATCTCAAAGTAAGTCTGATTTTGTAGTGGCTGTACTTCAAAGGGGACATTGATCATACTGCTCAGAAAATCAAAACGGCTTGATAATTGAGACTGTTTAGTATTTTGGGGGATTAAAAAAAGGAGTGAATGGATTTTTATTATTGTAGGGTGGTTGTGTCCACACACTGCTAAGATACATTTATATGCAAACACCATGTAAAAGTGAATTTTGCATCCTGTGTCTACTTTAAAACTGAAATATAATCTTAATTCATATGATGAAGGATTTCGAAAGTGTGACAGTAATCAGTGTTGAGTACCACTGTAAGGTTTACCCTGCCTGGTTTACATGTTTGAAAATGATAAACAGTTGAAAACATTAGTAATTTGGAAAAGTAATCAAAAAGTAATCAAATGTAATCAGTTACATTACTTTAATAAAGTAATTGAAAAGTTACACTACTTATTACATTTTAAGTAGGGTAATTTGTAATCTGTAACCTATTACATTTCCAAAGTAAGCTTCCCAACACTGCCAGTAGTTTTACGGTAAACATGACCTCAGTCTTTCATATACATTTATTTTGCCTCTTTCACACATACATCACAGCTACAGTTTAGATAGTTTTTGAGATTAATAGGTTAGTAGTTTCCTCCTAATTGCAATCTTTATATTTTGAGAGATAAATCAGTGCACGTTTGCACTGCATTGCATTTGTTAACAATTAGCTCTATAATTTGGTACTCCCATTGATCTCTCTTCCACTGGACAGGTGGTTTTGTGAGGGGCGGGAGCTGCACCACTGCCCTGATATCCAGATCTGTCGTGATGGTGACCTGCACACTCTGGTGATAACTGAAGCATTTGAAGACGACACCGGCAGGTACACCTGTGTAGCTTCCAACGCACTGGGAGCAGACAACACCTCTGCAGAGGTCTATATTGAAGGTAAGGTCATACTTAAATCAATTTTTGATCAGTATTTTTGCCCTTTTTCCATGTAATAAAACATCTAATCATCCTTTAAACAAGATAAATTGACTTTTTATGTTTTAAGCATAAGTCTAATAAATGTAATGAGGTTTATAGTTAAGAAAAAAACAGTTTGTCACTAGGGTATTAAAAATACTTTAATTAATTAAAAACTTAATTCAAGATATTTTGTCTGCTAAGATTTATCATATACAATTTTGTAGTCAAATTACCTTGGGAACAATACTGATTAAAAAAAGGTTTTGGCAGAGTAGGAAATGGAAAGATGTTTAGAAATAGAAAAAATAATGTGTATTATAATGTGTATAAATATGAAAAATGTATATTTAGCAACACCTTACATGCAATTAAAATTAAACATACAATATTACTTGCTGTACCACAAAATAATTACATTTTTTCAAATTAGAAGAGGTGCAATGACATTAGTGAAATTTCAGTGAAAAAATCTGTAAAGATGCTTCATCATCAAACTCATAAGGTGAAGGATCAATGCAGGTTCTTCCTCATATGGCCTTTGACCCTTTGACCTTAGACCTCAACTGACAGTTTAACCGGCCCTAACTATGTATTATATAAGAGCCCCTAATTCACCAAGTGCCATAAAAGTTCCTATTATCTAACCTGAAGCACGTGGCAGGTTGTTTGGGTGTGAACTGACCTTAAATGGGTCATATGATGTTGCTAAAAAGAACATTATTGTATGTATTTGGTTTAATGAAATGTGTTTATGCGGTTTAAGGGTCAGTCTGAAAAGTGAGGTGTGCTCTGATTGGCCAGCTATCCAGTGTGTTGTGATTGGCCGAATACCTCAAGCGTGTGACGGAAATGTTACGACCCTTACCATATTGTGATGCCCTGTCCGGCCGGAGCGACGAGACAAAAACATTAAAACCCATTATAAACGAGGCATTTGTTGCATCCAGTGGGGACATAATTACGGATTATAATGACTTATACTGTAATGTATATAATGACTTATAGCACCAAGAGCTTGTAACACTCCAAAGAGAAAGGAAAAATTTAAATTGCATCATATGACCCCTTTAATAGCTAAGGCCATTAGGCTGTCTTTGAAGGCCAATAATCCATCAAGAATTTATAGCTCACACAGAAGTCACTTTCAAACCAAGCAGATTTCTGTTGGTCAGCGTGGTCAATTCATGTGACGTTTTCTCTTCCATTTTCTCATTATGTTTCTCTCCGTAAAGGTGCTTCTTCTTCAGACTCAGAAGGTGAAGGATCCGTGTCGAAGTCTAGGTCCGGAGCCATGCCACAGTATGTGTGTTTCAGCATGTTCTTCCTCGCAGGACCTTTAACCCTTTGACCTCAGGCCTCAGCTTAACTGGCCCTGATTATGTATTATCTAATAGCCCCTAATTTATCCTCTGCCATGAAAGTTTGTATTGCTCCTCGTGAAGAACATGGGAGGTTGGTTGGGAATGAAGTGACCTTAAAGAATAGCCTAAGCTGTCTTAGAAGGCCAATAATCAATCAAGAATTTAGGAATCTTGTTGCCTAATCTTCATAATTTGTGTGATCGCTTGAACGCTCTTCAGTCACCTCTGAACTCATCCGCTTATTTCTCTTCCTGTCATCTCTTGCCTCTACTGGCATATCAGTCTTTCCTTTCTGTTTACATAAATTATTAAGCGCTTGGCTCTGGTTCCCAGTGACATCATCGCACCCATTTGGGATTACGCTTTCACTGGCTCTAAAGTCATTTATAAGGTGCAAACTGCATAATGAAAATTCACATAGTGGAGTGGATATTACTTCACTGTGTGTGTGTGTAAGTTGGTGCGTGTTAGAGAGGAATTACCCCACAGAGAGAGCATGTAAAGCAACATTATACCATTTAATAACTTGTCTTAGCTTATATTTCTATATATTTGCTGTTGGAAACTTTCACTTTAAATTAAATGGCCTAATGTTTTAAAAATCAGACAAACACTGTTAAGACTTTGAATAAACCTGTATCCACCCATTAGATGTGGATATAGCTTTTTTAATGTGCTCAAATAGAATATCACTCTCATTTTTAGTCTGGCAAAGATCTGCCCAGGCATCAGAAACATTACAGTAGACATCTTTTTTACTAACATTAGTGTTTTTAGTATTATTGAGATATTATTATAGGTTTAATTATAATTTTGAATGTTTTTATTTTTATATTTTCCATTTTCATTTTCATTTTAGTTAAAGTTTTTGTAATTTTGTTGTGTTTTGTCATTTGTGTTATTTTTTAAGTCTGTTTAGTTTTTTCTTTTTTTAAATTTTAGTTTTTGTTTTAGATATTTTAGTACATCGTTAAACTAAACTTTATACATTTAAACAAAAAATGCAACTGAAAAAAAAAGAGAAATGTTGCCTTGGCAACTAGTTGAAATAAAATATTGAAGTTGTTTTTTTTATTTTATTTTATTTTAGTGCAGTTAACATTCATTTTATTAATTTATATGTAACAAAAATGCTTTTATGGTTTTAGCTTTAGCTCCCTTTCCCCCCACAATCCAAACACATGCAGCATAGGTGAACTGAACACTCTGAATTGCCTGTAGGTACTTTCAGCCAGGATGACTCAAAATACCCGTTTCTTTCAGTCACAAGCTCTATTTTTTTTTTTGGTTCAAATGTACATGAATATTGCAAGATGAGAGAAGTGTTCTTTACTTTATATCTAAATGTTTTCTTAAAGGATGACTTTGTGTGTGTGTGTGTGTGTGTGTGTGGGCCCTGAGATGGACTGGCCATTCATTCAGACGCCTGTGGCCCAAAATTCTGAAATAGGCTCCAGCCTCCCGTAACCCTTCAGAGGATAAAGCAATTTGGAAATGGATGGATGGATAGATGAATGGGTTTTATCTCTCTCTGTCAGGTCCAGAGTCCAGTTTCTTCACTCTATGCTGGTGATGGTCCTGTTAAAGCGCCCCCTACCATTACTAAGGTAATGACATGGCCACACACACACACACAGAGATACAAACATCTCTAGCAGCATTCAGAAACACACACATATTTTGAGAAATGGACGGATTAATCAGTGTATGAGCTTTTCCAATTAATTCCAGGCTTTCTCTCTCTCTCTCTCTCTGTGTGATTTGTCATGTGACTCTCTGTGCAGGCCTAGGCAGAGGTTCAGAGTTCAATGCCAAATGCTGTGTTTGCTCAGTGTGCTAAATCATTTTCCACCTCCTTAAAGAAAAAGTTTTTTTTAGCCCCCCATCTCTCCATTATGCCACTCCGTCTTTCTTCTGAGAGACTTTAATCTTCCTAATGAGAAGATGTGCCTTTTTATAATAGATGGTTTCGTGTCATCATCATAGTCCTAAACAAACAGGCACACAAATAAAATGGCTGGATTGTATAGACATACTTCTTGACTTGAACTTTAAATAAACCTTTAACACGTCACGTGTAACCACAAGCATGCTACACACACTTACACAAAGCTTCAAAGAGAACGAACACACAACAGAAGGCAACTCACACGCACATGTATAAACAAACTACTCTTCGCCTTTTTACTTTATGGGTTGCTGACAGCTTCTTGCCTCTATGTTATGTCATCAGTCTGAAAGAGTATGTACTTGTGAATGAAAGAGGTGATGAAGAAAGAGCAGAATTAGTGCTTGTACACCTTTTCATCTGTCTCTTCAGTTTTTCCATTCATCTGTCTGTTCTCTTTCCCTTTGTTTAAGTCTCTCACTCTATATTTGCAGTGTTAACCTGCGGTTCTCTTGCTCTGTAGATGTTGCAGGACGCGCAGGCATCTGAAGGTCAGGTGGTGGTTCTAGAGTGCCGGGTGAGAGGTAGTCTTCCTCTGCAGGTTCAGTGGTTTCGAGAGGGCCAGGAGATCCAGGACTCCCCTGACTTCCGAATCCTGCAGAAGAGTAAGAGAAACTCAGAGAACAATTTAAAGAGGCAATTCAGTAGTTCTTTAGCAAGTGTTCGAATTGCTGTTCTATGTGTCTTTTAATTAGGGATACCACAATGTTGCTAAACGCTGAGCTGTCATATATCGACATTGAGTTTTACGTTAATTACATGTATACTAGTGCTTTTTAAGGCCAATTCACACTACACCAACAGACATAGACAAACCATGACAATCACCAGATTCCAATATGTCACTTTTCAGACATTCCAAGATCCAGCAAATGCATCATATTTAATTTGCAAAAACAAGCGCTGAGCTAAGCCTACAGATGCCGACAGGGATAATACACAGCTTTTTTCATCCAAATTTGTGAATTTAACTTGTGAAAATGTGGAATATTTGCAAATAAAGTACAAATTCAATCTGGTGTGAACAACATAATTTCCTGGGAAACTGACATAATACAAATGGAAGTAGCTGCTGTAACTGTAGCTCTTTTTTTCTAATGTAATAAATTACTTGTGCTTCAAAGCGCGCAGGCGAAACAGTGACAAACACTGTCATGTTATCTTGCGTTTGGCAGTACCTGATGTGTGGGAACTTAATCGTGAAAGACAGTTCTGGGAGGTAATTATACCAAATCATTTTGATGACAGACTTTTGCTCAGATATTTCAGAGCAAAGTCAAGTTTTTTCCTTGCATCAGGGAATTTATTTGTTAAAAGTTTTTATTCACATTTTAAGATTTCATGTGTGTCTTGACGTTTACGTTCAGCATTTTTATTTTTATTATTTGTATGCGATAACCCAAAATTTTGTATAAAAATATGTGGACGGAACAATAGCTAGTTGGCTATTATGGATTCGGTCATCATCTCATGTGAGTGTACACCATTCAGATGACTCAAAAACACAATTAATTTCTTAATGTGTTTAAATTAGCACCAAACTACTGAATGCACCTTTAAACTGAAGAGGTCACCCAAAAAATAAATTCTTTCATAATTTACTCACCCTTGTATGACTTTATTTTTTTTTCTGTGCAACAGTCATATTGTAACATCAGTCCACTGAAGGCGAGTGTAATGAGAACCCATGTGCAGTTTTATTTACAAGTGATCCAAACAATAAACGAAGACTTGACTTGAACAGACTTGAGGCATAAACAGACTAGACTCACCAACAGCGGGTTACAACATCAATACACCACCAAGACTATGGGAACATGGTGGCTACTTATAGCAAACAAGAGGGTCACAAGACAGGAACAAACCAATGGGAAACAAGACGCATGACTAAGACAACCAATCAGAACATGACAATGAACAAGAGAACCAATGGCATGAATACATGAGGGCAAAGGAAGCATGACAAACAGGGAGCATGACTAAACTACAAAATAAAAGACATGAAAACATGAACATGAAACAAAACCCAAACACCAAACACGTGGCGGCCATCTTGGCCGGGGACTCAGGCGTGGCGGCCATCTTGGCCGGGGACTCAGGCGTGGCGGCCATCTTGGCCGGGGACTCAGGCGTGGCGGCCATCTTGGCCGGGGACTCAGGCGTGGCGGCCATCTTGGCCGGGGACTCAGGCGTGGCGGCCATCTTGGCCGGGGACTCAGGCGTGGCGGCCATCTTGGCCGGGGACTCAGGCGTGGCGGCCATCTTGGCCGGGGACTCAGGCGTGGCGGCCATCTTGGCCGGGGACTCAGGCGTGGCGGCCATCTTGGCCGGGGACTCAGGCGTGGCGGCCATCTTGGCCGGGGACTCAGGCGTGGCGGCCATCTTGGCCGGGGACTCAGGCGTGGCGGCCATCTTGGCCGGGGACTCAGGCGTGGCGGCCATCTTGGCCGGGGACTCAGGCGTGGCGGACATCTTGGCCGGGGACTCAGGCGTGGCGGACATCTTGGCCGGGGACTCAGGCGTGGCGGACATCTTGGCCGGGGACTCAGGCGTGGCGGACATCTTGGCCGGGGACTCAGGCGTGGCGGACATCTTGGCCGGGGACTCAGGCGTGGCGGACATCTTGGCCGGGGACTCAGGCGTGGCGGACATCTTGGCCGGGGACTCAGGCGTGGCGGACATCTTGGCCGGGGACTCAGGCGTGGCGGACATCTTGGCCGGGGACTCAGGCGTGGCGGACATCTTGGCCGGGGACTCAGGCGTGGCGGACATCTTGGCCGGGGACTCAGGCGTGGCGGACATCTTGGCCGGGGACTCAGGCGTGGCGGACATCTTGGCCGGGGACTCAGGCGTGGCGGACATCTTGGCCGGGGACTCAGGCGTGGCGGACATCTTGGCCGGGGACTCAGGCGTGGCGGACATCTTGGCCGGGGACTCAGGCGTGGCGGACATCTTGGCCGGGGACTCAGGCGTGGCGGACATCTTGGCCGGGGACTCAGGCGTGGCGGACATCTTGGCCGGGGACTCAGGCGTGGCGGACATCTTGGCCGGGGACTCAGGCGTGGCGGACATCTTGGCCGGGGACTCAGGCGTGGCGGACATCTTGGCCGGGGACTCAGGCGTGGCGGACATCTTGGCCGGGGACTCAGGCGTGGCGGACATCTTGGCCGGGGACTCAGGCGTGGCGGACATCTTGGCCGGGGACTCAGGCGTGGCGGACATCTTGGCCGGGGACTCAGGCGTGGCGGACATCTTGGCCGGGGACTCAGGCGTGGCGGACATCTTGGCCGGGGACTCAGGCGTGGCGGACATCTTGGCCGGGGACTCAGGCGTGGCGGACATCTTGGCCGGGGACTCAGGCGTGGCGGACATCTTGGCCGGGGACTCAGGCGTGGCGGACATCTTGGCCGGGGACTCAGGCGTGGCGGACATCTTGGCCGGGGACTCAGGCGTGGCGGACATCTTGGCCGGGGACTCAGGCGTGGCGGACATCTTGGCCGGGGACTCAGGCGTGGCGGACATCTTGGCCGGGGACTCAGGCGTGGCGGACATCTTGGCCGGGGACTCAGGCGTGGCGGACATCTTGGCCGGGGACTCAGGCGTGGCGGACATCTTGGCCGGGGACTCAGGCGTGGCGGACATCTTGGCCGGGGACTCAGGCGTGGCGGACATCTTGGCCGGGGACTCAGGCGTGGCGGACATCTTGGCCGGGGACTCAGGCGTGGCGGACATCTTGGCCGGGGACTCAGGCGTGGCGGACATCTTGGCCGGGGACTCAGGCGTGGCGGACATCTTGGCCGGGGACTCAGGCGTGGCGGACAAGATACACAGACTTGACTTGACTTGACGAGGCATGAACAGACTTGACGAGGCACAAACAGACTAGACTCACCAACAATGGGTTACAACTTCAATACACGACGAGAGACAATGGCAACATGGTGGCTACTTATAGCAAACAAGAGGGTCACAAGACAAGAACAAACCAATGGGAAACAAGACACATGACTAAGACAACCAATCAGAACATGACACAATGAACAAGAGAACCAATGGCATGAATACATGAGGGCAAGGGAAGCATGACACAAACAGGGAGCATGACTAAACTACAAAATAAAAGACATGAAAACATGAACATGAAACAAAACCCAAACACCAAACCCCACATTACACATATGAAACAATTTTTGCTAGAAATACTTGAAAACCTCAGCGTGACCGCTATATTCTTAAAAATTTTCCTTTTGTGTTTAAGGGAAAAAAACAAGTCATCTGGGTTTGAAACAAAATGAATAAATGTTGACAGAATTTTCCTTTTTGAGTAACTATTTAAACTATTTGAGAAACTATGTTTGGTTTATTGGTAGACTGATAACTAGTGATTTGTTATGGTGTTTGTGTTTCTCTCTTAATTCCCATATCACTTTTTCATCAGAGCCAAGATCAGCAGCAGAACCCGGTGAGTTTATTACTCCTGCTTCCACTTTCCCCTCTCTCCACTCCTCTTATTCATAAAACACTTTCCTCCAGATACATGTGTACATATGGATTCATCAAGATAATAATTCTCTGTAAGCCCAACATTTGTGACATCCTCACAATGCAATATGCAGTTTGGACGAGATATGACTCGAAAATCTCTGATTAACAAAACAAATGAACAGGATACATGCATGTCAACACCGCTTATGAGTCACATACTTTCACTTATCGGTACATGTGTATGGCTCACCTTCTAACTCTCACCTCTATCTTTGGGTATGTCTCAGTCTGTTCACTAGTTCAGTAGTTCATATAATAGTTTTGTTCATTTTAACAGTGACAGCGAGTGAATATGCATGATAAACTAATGAAAGTAATAAAACTATTTGTTGACAAATACCACCTACATTAATATGAACCTTGTCATTTGTAATGGTGTCGCAGGTAATTGAGTCATCACTGTCTCAGTGTTTAGTGGTCAAGGCCCTTGCTAGTGACTGAATTTACTGAATCACCTCGTAGGAAACATGGAAAAGGAATGAGACACAGCCTCTGTCTGCCGCAGTAGACTTCTCTCTGCTATTGAATCACCTCTGTAACCATCAATTACCTGTCTAGATTCACCACACCTGTCTATCTAATTGTCTATCACCTGTCTACATCCCTCCCTCTTTACAGGAAATATTTATGTGATTCTCATATCTCTGGAGAAAGCATTGTAGGATGCTCCATTGCAGCAATAGATTATACTGTATATATAGTAGCTTGTAGAGCTAATTAATTTGAATGGTTTAAGCTTATGTGTGTGTCACTGTGTAACTGATTAAATTAATTTCTAGTCTGGTTTTGCTTGTGATATTGATGATTCTGTAATCGACGGCTCCTGTGATTGGTCTTGCAGAGGAAATCTGTACGTTGGTGATTGCAGAGGCATTCCCTGAAGACGGAGGTCTGTTTTGCTGCACTGCAACCAACCAATACGGCTCAGTTAATAGCACGGCACAACTCACTGTCACCCCAGGTGTGTTTACACTGTATCTACAATAACTATATCTGAGATCAAAGTTCATGGTAATGTAAATATGTAAGTAGCCTGGTGATATATTGGTGCATAAAGAGGTTCACATTTAAAGAAACATGTTCAAGTTAAAAAAAAATCAATGATCAAACAGTGTAATATATAGCAAACATCTGTCTTATATAAGTATATTCACAACCATTCAAATGTTTGGGGTCAGTGAGGTTTTTTTTTCATGTTTTCGAAAGAAGTCTCTCTCAATGAATCAATCAATAAATAATTTTATTGTGATGGCAAAGCTAAACTTTCAGTCTTCAGCGTCACATGAATCTTCAGAAATCGTTCTAATATGCTGATGTGGATATCAAGAAACATTTCTTATTAGTAGTAATTTTGCAAAAATATTTTACAGCTTAACAATTTTGTGGAAAATTTGATACTTGTTTTTCAGGATTCTTTGATAAATAGAAAGTAAAAAAAAAACAGTGATCATGATAATGAAGAAGGAATATTTTTTTAAATAAAAACTTTCAAAGAATATATTTTGTAATGATGTTTACATAAAGCATTTTACACAAAATGAATGGCTCCTGTTTATGACCTGAGTCCAGTATTCATTTGTTTGAGTGTAATATGACATGAGTTGAAAGAAGGCCAAAGGATAAACCTCTGAAAACAACAAAATTAAGCACAGTAAACAGTCAGCTGATGGTTTCAACATTACAGCATGCTCTCAACTTTAAGTAGTAAATATAAGTGACGTAACACAGGAATCGTAATGACTTTATTTACAAAGTAGTAACAAAAAACTAAAATGCCCTTTCCAAAAAAGGCATAGCAACTCCATCTGTGATCATTCGATGACATTTTATGGGGCCCACTGTGGTTCATCTTGAAAACATGTCAATTGCATGAGGCCGACCAGCCATATCTTATCCACAACACTCCAGGATCGGAGTGTGGTGAGGAGAGAAGATACAGTATGTGCTGATAGCTGTGTGTCATATGGCAAAGACAGGAGAGGCATGCATGTTTATACTGCATGATGGAGTGGGTGTACTTATATTTCCAGGAGTCCTTAAGCCTTAAGTTTACTATAGAGCCGTTTAAGTAAATCTGAGACAGTCTCAGCCAGATTTCATGTCTGATAAAGGTTTGGATTAGGTTTTAGCTGTGGATTAACAGTTTATCTAGGATTATGGGTAGTTATAATAAGTTTTCTTCAATTGCAGGTGTGTTTCAGCATTTTGAAATGATTGTTAAAGTGTTGTAAAAACTGATTTCTCAACAATGACGAAATCATGAATTGATTTCCCCGGTTACTCATAGACCCTATATTTCCTTCTGTATTCCACTGAAGTGCACTGTGACATGGACCAACTGGATTTCATCACCCACTTAATAGGAAAAGAAATCTGTTCTCACCCTATAATGAACTGTATATGTCTTCTGTTATCTTGGATTTCTAGTTGCTGAAGAGTTGCCCAGCAATAGTGTATATGGGGATGACAGTGTGTTCGAGGACAACCAATCATTCCCACCTCCACCTCCTCCACCAACTGAGATTAGTTTGTTGGAAGTCCCACCCAAAACCCCGCAGAGTGCTGAAGCCTTCCAGATCAATGAGCTGGACATCTGGCCCAGCGTCACCGCGCTGCCTGTTCAGGTCTCCGCAGATAAAGAGCCTCAGGAAAGTGTTCCTGACAAACCTCTACAAAATGGTCAGGCCTTAAACAAGCCACCAGATGAGAGTCTACAGTCACCTTCAAGCGTGACGGAAACGGCAGCTCCGCCTCCATCGCCTTCAGCGGTTAAGGCTCCACCTCTCCCCACCAAACCCAAACCTAAACTGTGAGTACTGCAGCTGAATCCTGTACATCATCACAACCTTGTATTTATGAAGCCTTTTAGCTTTGAATCCGTCCATATGCTAGTGCAAGCGTTGACATTTTGCAGATAAATGCATTATAAATTGTGACCCTGGACCACAAAACCAGCCTTAAGTGTCATTTTTTCAAAATTGAGATTTATACATCAGCTGAAAGCTGAATAAATAAGCATTCCATTGATGTATGGTTTGTTGTGATAGGACAATATTTTGTTGAGATACAACTATTTGAAAATCTGGAATCTGAGGGTGCAAAAAAATCGAAATACTGAGAAAATCGCCTTTAAAGTTATCCAAATGAAGTCCTTAGCAATGCATATTACTAATCAAAAATTAAGTTTTGATATATTTACGGTAGGAAATTTACAAAATATCTTTACGGTAGGTAATACTTAATATCCTAATGATTTTTGGCATAAAAGAAAAATCTATCATTTTGACCAATACAGTGTATTTTTGGCTTTTACTACAAATATACCCAAGCGACTTAAGACTGGTTTTGTGGTCCAGGGTCACAATTTACAGTGTTTTTCAGGGAAAATGGACCAAAATGCTGGTGACTCATCCTGCACTAGACAGATTTTCATCCAATCAAATGCTTTCTAGAATGAGAATGTCCCTCCCACTAACACCACCTGCTAGTGCCTAATGGGTGAATAAAGCTTCCTCTATGAACTGACTTTCAGATTGTACTGCATTCAATTAAATAAAAGTACACTACCTTTCAAAATGTTGGGGTCAAGATAAATGTTTTTTAAAGAAATTAATATTTATTCAATAAGGACACAATGGATTGATCAAAAGTGACAGTAAAGACATTTATAATGTTACGAAAGATTTATATTTCAAATAAATACTGTTCTTTTGAACTTTATTCATCAAAGAATCCAGAAAAATGTATCCCAGTTTCCACAAAAATATTAAGCAGTACAGCAGAGTTTTGATAATAATAAAAAAATATGTAAACAAATCAGCATATTAGAATGATTTATAAAGTATCGTGTGATTCAGCTTTAACCATCACAGAAATAAATTACATTTTAAAATATATTAAAATAGAAAACAGTTATTTTAAATTGTAATACTATTTCACAATATTAGTGTTTTACTATATTTTAGAATAATTGCAGCTTTGGTGAGCAAAAGAGACTTACAATGGCTTTCAAAAACATTAAAAATCTTATTGAACCCAAACTTTTCAAACGGTGGTGTACTGTACAGTATGTAAGTATGCAGGTGTTTAGTTTGAATACAATCCGCCATAATGCCATGGTTATGTGACCTATGACGTTAGGATGTGTTGCTGTTCTCTGCCATTTACAAATGTGATGACTCCTGTTCAACCCTCAGCTGCCTGCATATGTCAGTAGGTGGTTTAATGGGAAAACCCCACTTAGGAACAAATGCATTCCGTCCCTTTATCACCATGTCAGAGGCCGGGCATTGCTGCGTGCCATAAATCACTGGGTGATGTGTGTGGTATGTGTGTTTGCATATGTGTTAGCAGTTGTGCTATGACTCCATTCGGATTTCAGAGGGATCATTTGCTTTAGTATTGGATGTATCTGATACTACACTATCATTTATCTTCAGTTGTAGTGGTATGTTTTATGTCAGCACTGATCTGAGTGTGGATTTAGGTGTACTGTTCAATGCCTGAAGGTAGTTGGCTATAGATTACTCACTAGGTGAAATTTGACTCTAACTAGAACTGTTACAGTTTTTAAAGAGAGCATCCCTAAGTTTAGGGTCAAGATAAGGTTAAGTACACTGCCCAAGGGCACAACATTAACATGCAGGGCAAGCCAGTACCTACATGCCTGCAATTAGTTACAGTGACCCTCCAAGATGTACTAGTTCTAAGAGCTCCAGACTGTGACTACAATCGACAGGAAAAGATCCATATGCGAGTTTGTCAGATTTAATCTACTGAACGCAGCAGCAAACAGTGTGAGCCTTGATGTTTGATTTGCGAACAAATTACTCTTATGAACAGATTCTTTTTAATGAATCAGTGCAAAAGTTTCACAAAACAGCCTCTGCGCGGGTAAAGACTGCATGCATGACTTTAGCTCCAATTTTCACTCACCAACAGTTTTTCATTTCTTTTTTCCATAGGCAACTATGGTACCTCAGACAGTCGTGTAGTGAGAAGAACATTGATCTTATGACTTTGAAATTCATGCACTGTGTACCTGGCTTTAGTGATTTGAATTAGACTCACTTAGTGAATTGTTCAGAACTGCTGCTCAGATCACAACTAAATGACAAGTCCATTTTTTTGTTATTTCTGATTCAGATTAATCTGGCTGAAACGGTTACTCTGATGAAATGTGGATTTGAGTGAAATAAGTATGAACAAATATATTTATTAAGCATTTATAACTTGTGAGTTAAAGAGTCAAAGAACTTGAGCAGTGCCAGATGCCCAATATCAAATCACAGTTAGTCCGGTGCGTAGATCCAAAAAACATGAAGCCAGCAGAAATTAAAATCCACTCACGGTTATATGCAGTGCTTTCACCTCCTCAAAAAATATTTTATTCAATGCTTCATCAGAGGCCGTAAAAACAAGTGCAAAAGGTGTACAAAGGTGCAAAACGTTTTTGAGACAAAGCTCTTCCTCAGTGCCACTTTTAATAAAATTTCTGCTGGCTAACATGTGAGTTAAAAATGGCTCACTATTTCGCAGGATTGCGTTGAAATCACTCTTTTTATTCATGCAGTTATAACTGCTTATCAGTGATTTATAATGCATTTGTAAATGAGTTATTAGTCATTTAAGAACACCTTTATAAACCCTTTACAAAAGGGAACCTTAATGCGACATGACATTTAACATTTTAATCAATAGTTTTTGTCTACAGCAAAGTAAACAAGAATTGTTATATGAGCTTTTATTCTGGCTGCGATCAAAGGATGAAATTGCAGATTCATAAACATGTGAATTGCAGCAACATAAAAGCAAAAGTGTCTAAGAGGGAGGGACTGTTTGTTGACTCTGAGTCAGTCTCATATATATATAAATGTAGTTTAGCTCTGTAATCTTGTCTGGATTATGCGTGGCATTGAAGTTTGTGTGTGTGAATGTGACATTAGGCTCTTGTATAATATACCTTTACATAGGCCTACTTATTTGTTTGAAAAAACTATTCAAGCTTTTTGTCTCTGTGGTTATTGACTGATTTCCGTTTGATTCAGATGCCTTGCCTTCTTTACAGCCCTGGAAAAGTAGCATGTGTGTGTGTTTAGTAGGTGGATGTTGGGAAGAAAGAGAAAAAAGTCAATTGTGTGCATTCTAGTTAGTGTATACATAATAATAAATCATGTAAATGGAAAGCTTTGCGTTGTGCTGTACCAGGAATACAGGGCAACATTTAGTACTTGTGGTTTTATCCGTGACTTCTCTCCACACATTTCCCCATTCGTTCTGTGATTCCAGATCAAATGAGCAAGCAGACGACCTCTCAAATGAAAGGTAAAACAAAGAATAGGTTAATGCAACCTGAGTGTGAATAACGCATATGTGCGTGGGTTTGACGGGCATGTGATAGCTATGAATGGAAAATTGTTTCTTGTCATGGATGAGGTCCAAGTTGAGGTTTATATGGCAAGCCGTTTGGCAAAACACTGTCTTTGCTTGAGCTTCTGCAAATTATTGCCTTAAAAAGCTGCTTCCCCAAAAGATTTTCCACTGTAAACGTCACAAATCAACCACTAGAAACAACACAGCAGGGAGCAGGTAGTAAGACCCTCCTCCCCCAACGAAAAACACTCCACCCCACTGCTTTCTACCCAGCACTAGTCACTTCACCTTGTCATTTGGTTGTAAAAACAGGAATTTCATAATTGTACAATTACCCAGGGGTCATTTCTGCATGCTGTGTGGCAGGTTATCGTTTCTCTGCATCCTCCTGGTACAACCAGACCTGAACCCTGCCTTCTGACCCTCCAATCCCGTTTACACATTCCAGCTGATTTCCTTTGGATATTCCCATAACTCGCTGTTCACATCAGTGCTTTGAATAAAATGATGAAGTGGAATTTTAAGTTCACATTGTAGCTGCTGACATTTATCTTTTACAGGTCCCCTGTGATCTGAATTCTCCTTTAGTTCAACTTTATTTCAGCATTAAGGTGATTTATCAATTACATCTGTGATTATGTTGTTTGCCGAAAACGAGTGGAAAGTATGAGTTTGCAGTTCTGGTCATGTTCTTTGGGTAAAATAGTAAAATGGTGATAAACGTCACCTGGTCTCATGTTTCATGTTTCAGCGATGGGCCTTGGGCTTTTTCTGGCACTACAGCATTGTTTTGATACGATGCATGTCACATAAAATAAAATCAATCTGGTGCTGCCTACTAAAAGTCTTTATTTTGGAGCGATTGCTTGCTTGCAAATATGTTTTTCTTTTCTTAGCCTTTCCTCCGTTTAAATATCAAGTCTTGAACATTTTACCCAAAAATGAAAGGTTTGTCATAGTTTCCTCACCGTCATGTCATTCCAAACTGACTTAATTTCTTCCGTCCAACACAAAAGGTACATTTTTTAAACATTCTTTTCACTCTTTTCTATATAATGAAAATGATTGAGGACTGGGGTCAAGCTCCAAACTGACAAAAAAGGCATCATAAAATATGACTTGTCCTCTATATTATGAGTCTTATGAAGTCATATTTCATTTTTGTGTGATGAACAGACCAAAAACTGTTACTTACTGAAAATGAATGAAGTAACAATGTTTGATTCACAAAGAGTTAATCATTTAGTAACAAATCGGACGGATACAGTTTCCAAGGTCAGTTCACTAATTCGGTTATTGTGAATCAGTGAATAATGTTTTAAATTCAGTCTGTTCGTCATATTAAGTTATTGTATGATTTTTTAAGATTTATAATATAGCACAAAAGTTGAATGTTTTTGAAACTGGAAAGCTCCAGTCCACATTTTTTGGAATTGCATATAGACAAAAAAAAAAAGATTATTTTGTGTTCCACAGAAGAAACAAAGTCAAACAGGTTTTTAACAACATGAGGTGAGTATACGATGACAGAATTTTCAGTTTGGTTGAACCATCCTTTAATTGTCATAATCTGAAGATTTGAAGAGATCTACTAAAAAGTGAACTTTCACCCAAATTTAACCGTTTTAAGACATTCAGTGCCAATCTAAATGCAAGACTCACAGAAAGAAACCAACTCAGCTGACATTCATAAAACTCATTTGATCTTATTTCTGTTGGTGGGGCATTTGGTTGGTGCTTGTTCATTGTTCTAACCAAGTGTTGAGTGAACATCCTTCATCGTTTAACGCCTTTGCACTGTGTAGTTTGATTAACATGTTCAAATGTTTTCACACTTGATCCCTTGTTGGCTCTCCATGCCTCTGACGCTACACCCTGCGGCGATACACGCCATACAGGAAACTGCGCAGTGTGTTTTGGCAGACATTGGTGACAGCAGGAGGGCCCTTGTGATGTAGACAGGGCCCAATGTCCTTCAGCACAGGAAGGGACAGAGAGATAGACAGAAACAGAGGAAGGTGTGAACGAACAGGGTGTTTGGTAGGCGTCAACCTGCAGTCAACCCAGAGGAAAGGCTTTGTGGGTCAATTTTGAGGCAAATATGGCATATAAAAATTAAGCTGATAATGAAGGTACATTACTCAATTTGTGACATTTATCTGAACAACTAAATCCCTGTTACAACCGAGGTTTTATTTTCAGAGGAGCATCTGTGCAAGCGAGAGATGGTTATGTGCACCTCTGATTTACGAGCTTGGTGGGCTGAAATCACAGGGGTTTTATGAGAACATGCTTCACAGTGTGTAAAGTCCATACCACACTGAAATGATAACACCTGGAGCTTGTAAAGAAACACAGAGAGAGAAAGTGAGAAGACTGTCTGCGTTATGCTCTAGGTATACGTGCTATCACATACTGTATGTACATTTTCAGTATGTAGTTTTTGTGCATATGATGAATTAAAGATACTCAGCAGGTGGTGTCTGATATCAGCTGTACGGGTTGATAAATGTGTGTGCTGTCATAGTGAGACATTTCACAAAGCCCCTTTGAATTAAAGCTGGATTATAATTTATTTGTGCTGTAGGTTTGTGTGAGTGTGAGAGCCTTAGGAAAATCTTATTTTTTTCAATGGATCAAATTAACGTTAATTCTTCCTTCATGAGAACACAGGATATGTTTTTGTAAATGTACTGTCTGTTTGGTTTTGGATTCTTTTCTTGGCATCAGCATGGTAGTGGTTATGTGATAGCACCACTCACAATATCTGAAGATTTTTGAGAAGTAAGCAAGCACCTAAAGTCCTCTGATACCAGCTGGCAAAGACTATATACCACTAGGCGAGATAAGACATGACTGAAGAAAAAAGTTGGTTAATGTGCAAGGGGACTCTGGTTTAAATCCCAACTTTATATATACATATATATATATATATATATATATATATATATATTAATTCAAAGAAATTAATGCTTTCATTCAGCAAAGACACATTGAATTGATCAAAAATTATACTTTTGCATTGCTTAAAAAAATTCAAATAAACTTTCTGTTCATTTCTATTCTTTTAAACTATATTATATTAATATTAAGCAGTTTTGATGATTATAATGAGAAATGTTACTGAAGCACCAAATCAGTGTATTGAATTTTGAAGGATCATGTGATACTGAATACTGGAGTAATGGCAGCTGAAAATTCAACTTTGCCATCACAGGAATAAATTACATTTTAAAATAGCAGTTTTCTATTTAAATATGTTTTAAATTGCAATAATATTTCATAAAATTGCTGTTTTTACTGTATTTTTTTAAATAAAAATGTAAAAATCTTACCCACCCTAAATTTTTGAATTGTAGTTTATAAAACAAACAAATATTTTTTTTATCATTTTTAACTAATTGATTGTTTAATTATTAATTTGATTAAATTACTGCTGAATTTAATAGCCAGCGATCACCATGAAATACAGTACCTTATATACTACTTCATATACAATACTTTTTGCGGAAATTGCATTCTACAACCAGTCAATTTAAATATTTTCAAAAATATTCGGAGGGACATATTTGTAGTTTAAATCAGCACAATGATTTTGCTATACACAATCACTATAAATAATAACTCTTTTGCTCCAATTATGGGGTGGTTTTGAGATTTGAGAATTGTAAGATATATTACGTCATGTTACTCTCATGAGATTTGAGATCAAACATCTGTGACGGTGAATCGTTTTTTGCTAACTTTAGTTTCTGAATCAGTGTTTTGGGGTACAGTGTGAGGGGTACAGCAGACCCATTTACATTCTTCCAGGAAGTAAAACGTGTCGTTTCTTATCAGAGCCACACCAAAGTCAGCCAGACAGACAATAATCCTTCCCTTCCCGTGACAAAAGGACCAGCCTGTGATGTATAAATGCACTATATTGGCTCAGAGGTCATGACCTGATGAGCCAGAATTCCACACCCTACTTCATCAGATGTCTGTGAGCCAGACAGATGCAAAATGTCTCCTAGGATGTCTCTTTGAAGTAACTGATGCAATAATTTACCTCCTTATTCATTATGTGTTTATATTTAAACGATTACTCACCGAAACTGTAAGGATTTTTGTTTATTCTGGATTAGTGGATCGCCATGGTGGCAAAAGTAGATGAGAAAGAGAGACCGAGAGAAGAACAGATGAGAAAGGAAGTCTTTAATCCTGGCTGAAGTGCATGTATTGCTGTCTTCATGCCGACTGCATTGCTGCCATACCGCACCGCCTGCCACAAACCTTCATGAGCCGCAGTGGGGTTGTTGTCATGGACACTAGAGACAACTGCAGCAAACTGAGGGCTGTTCTCAAACAATCTGGTCACATTTCTTATTCTTGACCGCAACCACACCAGCTTTCTCTCGAACTAATGGGTTTTTTAGTTTCAGATGTCGTGCTTGATTTTACAGTGCTGATGTGGTTATTGCGGCAGTGTGTCTGTTTTATTCTGATCAACTCTAATAGCTCTAGGTCTAATAGCTTGAAAAACTCGGTTTCTCAGTCATCTCAATGGCAGTTGCTCCGTATTTCACCATTTCAGTCAGGATCTCCAGTCAGTTTTTCAGTTCAAATCATCATGGTAGTGAACACAGATAAAGCTGAGGTCACGGTGTACTGCTAAAACCATACTGTTATGCCCAGCATTACGGTTAAATCCGCTGCGCGCTGGTCAGCCGGTTGCATTTCTGGCGTGTGACTCAGCGCTGTTTCTCAAAGCTGGTTTGTTTATGAGGTGTTGCTCGTAAAGACCCAAATGGTGTATTAACAATCATTTTCTTACACAGGCGTTGCGTGTGGTTTAGAAGCACATTCAAAAGAAAACAAGCATATAGAGACGCTTTCTACAGGAAAATTCTATTTAAATAGTACGAAAAATGGTTTATTGTGGACAATTTTGTTGAGCGACACAGCTCCCCG